GGCATTCTTTTTATAGCGGAGAGAGTATTAAAACTACTAAAATTGAAAATACAAGAAAACATGAAGTGCTTTTGCAAAAATACAACATAGATTCCAACATCAAACTATAAGCTAAGTTTCACGGATTCTTCACTTTTGGTGCCAACCCGTGTCAACACGACATGGATGTGGGATCCGTGTCCAATTTGGTCAACCGATTTTGGGTGCTTTGACCAAAATCGATGGGGTAAGTGTGGACAGTTTTAATGATTGCCTGTAATCAATACAAAAGCTAAGGTGAAATTGAAGAAAATGAAATACCTTTTATCTAGAAATTTCTATGTCACTCCTTTTCCGTTAATCTCCTTCCAGATTCTCTCAAGTTCTCCGTAATATCTCATAATTTAGGTTTTCTAACTCTTCTTTTAGATATTTATTATTTTAGGCGAATCCCGCACCCGTATCCCTACATGGATCCATATCCCCTGAATCTTAAAAATTAGATCATGGAAGGATCAACATCTAGATCCGCACCCGTATCGGACACCCGCACCGATCCAACAACTTAGGCTATAGTGCAGAAACATACACCGCATTAACAATAAACAACATACCCAAGGAAATGTTGCATCTTTCTTTCTGTTAGGTCTTGATCAAATATAGAGGACCAGGGATCTTATACACGTATCTGAGTGGTGGCAATTGGTTCTGGAGTTAACCATGCAGCGACTTGAAGCCTAAAATATTTACAGATGCTTATGAATAGGGAGTCTAGACTTTATGAGATACTGACGGGATGCTTCCTTATGCTAGATTTGCTCAATGTGAAATGAGTGTCGATGTCTGATGTCACTATTTAGATGAGTAACTTAGAATAAAGAATGGGGTTGTAATGATCAAGATATCTTTTAATGCTAGAATAAGATAAGAATTTACTGGACTGATAATCAACTGAATATATAAGACAATACCAATGCCTTCTATCAACTATTATACGACTTTCTCTAAATGCTTTTTTTGGGGCTCTGATAATCTTCTTTCTCAGGACTTGCACTACAGTATCTTGGACATTCCGCGGCTTCTATGAGAAGGTAATAACATGAAGTTCTCTTCCTTTAATAGTTATTAGCATATTTTAACCACTGTCCACCATGTTGCTAATATTTGGTAGGTGAGTTTCTGGGAACTGAATTATGTCGCCTTGTTAGTGGGTAGGTGATTTGCGATGTTATCTCTCATGTGGGTTGTATGGAAGGAGAGGGGGAGAGTGTTTGAAGGGATAGAAATTGATTTTGTAAATGTAAGGATTAGCCTTTCTATCTCTAGTTTCTTTTTTGGTGCACCTATGAGGTCCCTGCTTGTATAGATGATTGAATGTCTTTTGTTGAGGACGATATTTTTGTATAGGTTCTCTATTTCTTGTTATACAGCTTGTATACGGGATTTTCCTCAATCATTAACAAATTATTTAACCTTATCAAAAAAATTGGTGGGTGCTTTGTGAAGTATCTTGAATAAAGAACTTCATCTCCATGCATCTATGCTTGTATAGTGATTTTGAATAGAATTTGTTCTAAAAAGTTATCTCTCTCTTGTTTTTTGTTTTTGTACATTCTATTATCTGATGATTTCTTTCTATGTTAGTTACTTCTCCAATACGAAAAGCATAGGACACAAAACGGAGAGCTTCAACTTCCTATTGCTCCTCCTCCTGGTTCTTCGGGTGTTGACAATGAGGTAACGCTGTGTTTACATTGTTGTTATGTGATGTATCTTCACATCTGCTGTATGTTGTACACCTTTTAATTGATGTATGAGGAAGCCTATTACCCTAAGTAGTTGAATCATCGACGTATTGTGACTTTGATCAAGTTCTCAAAGTTGATCATGGAGATCCTTCTTTAGTTGACTTTGACGGAAATCTGTATGTCCTCACTTTGGGATTAGGGCCACTAGGAAAAGACTTTTTTTAAGTAAGGAGTAACTCAATTTAAGATTGGCCTTATATGGTTGTGCCCATGTGTAGCTTAAGTTTCTATTTGTTATTGTACACAATGTGTAATTATTTCTTTATTTTTAAAAAAAAAAAACTAACTCCAACATGCATATGGTCGACTATTTTGAAGGAAAGGAACAACAGTTGCTTTGAAGACATAGCTAACTCATTCACATGCATACTTTTGCCTTTTTTTGGTGTAAACTGTAAATGAAGCATAATCAATACTTAGTCTCTTACAATACCTATTAGAATTGGATAGGGATTTTTTATCTCACTTGTAATTACTACAACACTTACTTAGTACTAGCTTTGTATGACAATTACCTTTCTCTAAAAAGGACATGTAGCTAATAACGAAAGTGAATTCATTGTTCAAGTAGAGTCCAGAGGCAGATCTAGCTTTTGAAATTTATGGGTTCCTACAAAATTAACTATTTAAAGTAATTCTGCAGGGAAGTGGGTACCAAATTTCTGCATCAGGAAGGGCAGTAAGAGATTCAGCTGCTCGTTGTAGGCTAGGTTGGCAGGAGCAACACCTTCTTGGTTATGGTGAGGTTGCTGAGCCAATTGTAAAGGTCTGCTGCTGAATCCTTGTAGAGGTCTTCGGGCATTGATTTTCTTAAGTTTGATCCTGTCTATTGCGATGTACAAGTAATTTTGGTGATTTTCATCTTTTATAGGACAGGAGTGCCAACAATACGCCAAGCGTGCGAAGAGCCTAAAAACTAGTGGTAAGATTGTTCGTCAATTCTTTGCCAACTTGACTTCTTCATATATCTCTATCATTGAGCTGTTTTCTCTTCACCATTTCCCACTATGAAGTCTGGCACTCTCCGAGAACTTTAGTTTTTGCTTTAACTCGTACTCTTATCAAAAAGGAATAGTGACCGCAGCAGAACTTCTTGTTGTATTCAGGTTCTCTTAAGCACCAGGGACAAAATGAAGTAGAGCACCCAATGAAAGCTGCAGAAACTGAAACATTTAAGCTGTAAGTCGTACTTTATCTTGGTCCTTTCTTCTAATGTTTTTATCTTGTACACCAGCAGTTTTTATCACCCAAAAGAAAAAGAGTACTAGGAACTTCAATAGTATTTCTCTATCTCTCTCTATTTTGGTTCCTCCGTTTCTGATGTAAAGATAAATTGCTTTCCATCTGCCAGGTTGGATGTCCTAGTTGTTGATGTTGGACCCCCCGCTGATTGGGTGAAAATCAATGTTCGTGAAACAGTAAGTTCCTCTCAGAACAAAAGAATTAAGAACCTCTAGATTATGCATTCCATTTCTCTCATGTGATTTGTAATGATTTTATGCAAATAAGAACCTCTAGATTATGCATTCCATTTCTCTCATGTGATTTGTAATGATTTTATGCAAACAGAATGATTCCTTTGAGGTCTATGCACTGGTGCCTGGGTTTTCACAAGAGGAGGTATAATACCAATCGTGCTACTTGTTTCCATCAAGTGCATTCAATTTGTTTTCGTCTTTTTACACCATCTCAAAGCTCTAATGCCCTTATTTCTTGGTAAACATAGGTACGGGTTCAATCTGATCCAGCTGGTCGCCTGGTCATTACCGGTCAACCAAACCAACTTGACAATCTTTGGGGTGTTACTGCCTTCAAGAAGGTACACACCTTGCTATTTATTTTACTGATTTTGACTTTGATAGAGTAATTCAATCTGTGCCTTACTTGCATATTTTTGGACGGGTAATTTTCTTTGGTAAAGAGAAACTGTCATGCAGAAAACTTGATATTTCTTCAATGGATCTGAAAACTATATCATTGTTACGTTTCTATTTGTTGATCACAACACTTTAAGAAGTCTACGACAATCAAAAGGTTCTCCATTTGTAAGTTGGCTTGACATATTTTTTTTTTCAGGTGGTCACCTTACCTGCTAGAATTGATCAGCTTCGGAGCAACGCTGTTTTCACCCTTCATGGGTGTCTTCATGTTCATGTGCCCTTTGCGCAGCAAAATCTCTGAGTTAACAAAGCAGGAGTAGTGGTAGTTGGCTAACATTGTGAATGCTTGGCCATAGTTGTTTAGTTGTTGTTGATGATACTGTGGGTCAAAAACTTTGAAGGGCCCAGATATAGCAAATGAGGTATTTCGGCTTCAGCCGCCCCAGTAGAAACTTAGATTGCTTTTCAAAGACAGATGAATATGTGATGAACATAGCTTGGAGTAGTATGTTGTTTTGATACTGAAACATATCTCTCTTTTTAGCATTTGACAATTCTATTATAATCTCGAAATTATTGGCAGACACATACTTTTTTGAAGTACTCTTTCAGACCTGAAGCTGAAGGTGGTGGAAGATGTTTATCAAAAATATCAGTTAACACCACCTTCATTGTTGAAGACTCGTATAGCATCGGTAAGTAGCTAGCATGGAGTATTTCTCTTTACAAGCTCCTTGCATGTGGTTTGATTGTTCGATTTGTCGGGGGGTCTCAACTCCCATCCCATCTCCCCATCCACCCCCAGAAATCTTTTTCTTTCTTAATTAAGCCTAGCCTACTGTTTCTTCTCAACATTAGGAAGATGATTGTGGAGGAGATTTGCTTGAGAATGGAGAAAAAAGTAGAGTTTTGGAGGATGAAAATTGCTTATTTGGTAGCAGGAAAAGAAGAAATTAAAGGAATAGTGTTACATTTTGGAGTTGTCTGGAGAAAGAATTGGTTCTATCAATGGGGAATAGACTGTTTAAAACGAATACGAAAGAAAGAGAAAAACTAGTATGGAGAAAGTCCTGTTGGGAGCGTTACCCCAGAATAGGCGGCCTATAGTACGCCATTCGAATGGGACAGTACTGGGTGGGAAACCAAAAAAAGAAAGAGAAAAACTAGTTAGGACAGGAATGCACTTTGTAGGTTAGCCTATACAACTCTATCTGAATGTGGGATCTTTCATGTACTGAGTTGTCCTTTTGCAATATTGTATTTATCGCTTCACAAAGAAAGATGGCTATAAATCTCAAATAACTGATTTAAGGTCTTGAGGAGAATAAAAATATATAATCAAAACTTGAGCATCAAATTATTTGCACCAAGGTCATATTTTTATCGAAAAATTCCATACATTTTTGGTATATAACAATATATGCAAATGCTAGCTCTAACATTGATCAAGTTGCTGGTTCATACTTACAACTACAGTTTTTCTTGAGTTGTCATAATATACCTTAACCAGAACTTGAATTTGTGATATCGCGCTCTCAATTATGTTTACCATTCACCAACGAGAAAAACCAGAAGCTCAAGCCAAAATTTGTGATATCGCGTTCTCTATTTATGTCATCATATTAATCTGAAAGAAGAAACAGCCTGCACATTGCAAGAAACTTCAGACATTGATTCCAAACATGTGGAACAGGCGATGAACATTTTCTTAAGAAATCGTGAAAACGTTCTACAGTTGAGGTCACCGCACTGAGGTATTTCCGTCTTTCATCACTTAAACTTGGTGATCTAACTCAATCCGAGAAAGGAGATTGACGTGTATGTATAGGTAAACTGTGAAAATATATCCGTCAAGCTACACAACATTTTGCACAAATTGACAATTTCTGGTGAAGACAACTTCTAATTATACATATACAGAGTTAATATGAAATGTGATGCAACTTACTTCAACATATCACAGAAACTGTATAATATAATCACAGAAAGTTTCTTCTAGCTTGAGGTGTGTCGTTGATGACACTGTCTCGTGAGAGACAAATGAATAGAAAGATTCATGTTTGGTTCGAGAAGGGATTATGGAATCCAGGAAAGAAAAGAAGAATCAGAATTGGATTAGGCCTCATATATACTCGCGTGCAGGGGGAAGAGGGGCAAATCCACCTCTTTCGCCTTCAATCCCGTTTCTCATGTGTACAAGCATTCTATATCTCTTTACAAAGCCTATCGAAGTTTACAATTACTTATTACGAAAAAGAGAGTTCTTCCTAATCCACGAGGGACACTTTCTTTTGAGATACTACAGACATTTTTGTGATGCATATCTTCACTCAAAAAACTAGCACACACAAAACAAGAAGAAAATGATCTTAAAATTACCTTCTGTATTTTGGCACCATATTTCTCTGCCTCCTCGTCTACAAACTGCGAGATAAATAAAATCTTATCAACATTACAGTCTTATCGTACTCTTCATCATCCTCTCGTAATGGAAAAATGAAAAGCCAAGTAAGTTTAATGCGTGTCTTTTTGCTTCGTTTAGCTGACCTGTCCAGTGAGAGTATACAGTCTGTTGTAAATCCCATTGTCTGCTATCCCGAGCACTGAAAATAGATGTCTGAGACTTTCACCGGGATTTTGGAGAGTGTACTCGATGTAATACAACCCTGATTAATAAGAGTGACAATTATCAACGGCTCAAAAAATTGAACGTCCTCACATCATGTGCAAGTATAAACTCATAATACATTGAAGCAGAGTCGCAACTACTTCAGTGAGATAAAATCACTTAGTTTCTTAAATGGTAGAGGCGGATTCAAAATTTAAAGTTTACGTGTTCTAAACTCTAGGAATGAGAACTTTTCTTTTTGACTTGTTGAAAATCATTTCATAAAAGCACTTTCTAATTGTGTAGACACAATAGTATGCATTCCATTTCATGGCTTTATAAACAGACTGTTCGATTTATAAGTAAACCTCAAATAACCATTGCATCGAGGCAAGTTTTAACGAGTGTTTTAGATTGTGTTATATACCTTTAGAAGCTTTGCTATCTATGAGTTTTGCTTTCACTCCCGGAGGCCTTTGCCAGCTTCTGTCTAATCCACTGACCTATTAAAAATCATTGAGGACCAAAGTAAGAACGCGAACTGAAGCAAAAAAGAAAAAGGAACGGAGAGTTTTTTGCAAAGTAGGGATGGATTCATCCGCACCAGATTCTCAGCAAAAGCATCAACTTTCCCGAAAGATTCCAACTTGGTGAAATCAGCACCAAGGCTTGTGATTACAATGCTGACTGAAACAACAGATGATTGAGTTCATATACACAACAATTTAATAAAAAGCTCAAATGAATCGATCCATCACCAATGTCCAACTAATACCATTTGAGTTAGAAGCTTCTGGAGGATAGAAAGCTAAGAGTGACCTTACTCCATCACCTTCTCCCGCGCCTATTTGCCAATCTGCAAGTAATTCTTCATTTGTTACCATCATTTTCTTCTCATTCTCTTTGCGTTAGAGCAAATCTCTTTATTCTTGACAGAAATCACCTCTTCCCAAGAACAATGAATTTAAAAGTTTTCTGTCTCAATTTTTAAGCCAAAAAGATCCTATATTTGTTCAGCAAAGGTGATTTTCCTTTCTGTCCAAGCCTTGGTGGACAAAGTTACTCGATAACTATACTGATGGGAGGTAGATGACACCCCGGAATTAGTCAAGGTGCCCGCAAGTTTCCCAAAGTCACTACGGTTATCCAAAAAAAAGAACAAAAGATCCAATTTTTGTTACTACATTTTACATACCAGTTCTCAATTTTCTTACAGAATTAACAGTCAAAGCTACTGTAAATCATAATAATCCATACACGCTCTCTTCAACACATGGATTTATCTATGAAGAGCACCTAAAATACTTGCATTCAAGAAGAAAAAACGGAATGTAAAACCATACCACTAGGTATCATGATCTTAAACTTGTTGACATCATCTGAATAAACACGAAAATCCTCCGGGACATCTGAAATAACATCATCCTTTTTAGCAAGTAGACATTTTGAAGGATACTGAGCATGTCAAAGTGAAAAAATTAATCAAAGTGTACCGTTCTCTGCCAATGCAATCGATGTAAAGGCGGACAGAGAAAGTGCAACAGAGCCTGCCTGTAGCAGGAGCTCTCTTCTCTTGGTTACGCATTCTCCTTTAACTTGCTCACTATCCAAATATTCGAAGTTCAGAACCAAATGAGGTAAACAAAAGAAGAAATTCACAAATGTACTCTGATTATCGATCTAGCAGATCGAAAATTGACAACACTTCATGGTAACTGAATGAAATAAAACACACAATAGGAAAAAGATAAGGATAATTTCGCTTACGATCACCAAACTTTACTAACGATAACAACAAACACACAAATTTATCCGAACACATCAAACTAACTGAATTTTAGCTACTATAGTCTATAACACTAAAAACACAAATATTTTTTGTCAATTAAAATTTCTGAGTTTTATCTACTATATCAATAAAGTCACATATTTTTACCCACTAATCACTATAATGGAAAATTTTAAAAAAAATTTGTGTGTTATCAACAAAATTTGTCTGGCAAAACACTAAGTGATTTCTTCTCATCTGTTTGAGCCTTGATAGATAGAGTTACACTGTACCTGTGTTAGTGGGAGATAACAAGTATCATGTGAAAGTAATTGAAGTGAATATTAGCTGGCATAAACAACAACATTATAATAAAAATAATCAAGGTGACTATAAGCTGGCCTGAGCAACACGATTATAAAAAAAATATTGACTTTACTACTACACTGAGTAAAGTGGTAGCAATCATACTTCAAGATGCACGTAAGCAGACTCAGACACCACAATTCTCAACAAAATATTGACTTTATTGTTACATTGAGTAAAATTTAGTGACTTTATTGTTACATTGGGTAAAATTCGAATGACACGAAAAAGTTAACAAAGGAAGTAAAAAAAATTACCCTGTTCTTGAATCAGGCACAGTGTTATTGTAGCAGAAAATAACTGAGTTTCCATTTCTCTTGGGGCCTAAACAAGTTCAAAAAAATGAAATAAAATTAGTATGAATTAATGTAAATGTTACTTTTTAGAGAAGATAAAGAAGTAAAAATTGAACCTTTAAGAAGATTAGAAGAGATTGAAGGGACACGTGGCAAGCGAAGAATAGCTTGATACTGGTAATAATTCAAAGATGGAGATGAAGATGAAAGAGTCACCATTTTTTATTTTTTTGTTTTCTTGAAGAAGCAGAGATATTGGTGTATCCAATTCCCAGCCAACCAGTTTTCTGCTATTTTCATCAAATAGATACAGTTGGAAATTCCACTCTGGCAGTTTTTTTTTTTTTATTAAAAATAAATAAATTATCATTGAAAAATAGGTATAAAGAGCACCAAAAGTTGTGGTATGCTTCTTAACGAGATGTCTTGAGTTCGAGTTTTATGTATGAAGTCGTTTTATTCAATGTGGTATTTCTCAGACGTGGATAGTTTTTTTTTTTTTTTTTTTTTTTTTTTTTTTTTACATTGGAGCTCTGACTAAATCTAGATCGCGCTCTACAGAGATCATTCGGGGGTGGCGCTCCCAACAGAATGTTCTCCATACCCAGGGATCGAACCCGAGACCTCTAGTCAAGGGTGAAGCACTCCTACCAGTGCACCACAACCCATGTTGGTAAGCGTGAATAGTTATTAGTTGTTTGAAGTGAGTACTGGACACTGGATGAAAAAGAAAAAAAGGAACTCGGTATGAAGCAGTTTTCTCAAAGAAAATATTATGTTCAGTGTGACGTTTTTTTATTTTCCTAGAGACTTTTTATGATATGTAAATAAATACAAGATATAGTTTAGTAACTTTTTGTTAGGGACAATGGCGGAGCTAGAATTTTAACAAGGAGGTTCAAAATTTGAAGAACTGAACACACGAACTAATCGAAGGAGGTTCAATATCTATTATATATCCATAAAAATAAATTTAACCATATATAAATAGTACTGAAATTTTTCGCTGAAAGGGATTCAGATGAGCCCCTGACTGTACGCCGATTCCGCCCGTTGTTATAGTTAAAAAACATTGGAAGTTTTTTTCATTACATTAAATAATAAAATAAAAAGTAGGTGATCCTTACATTCTAGAAGAGCTTGAGTCTAGTTGGTTTATCATTTATTCCATCACCAAAGAAAAAATTAATACACATTACACATATACACATATTTATCAAAGGTCTTATTTTTTAATGCACTCTACACTATCCATAAATTAAACATATTTATCGAAAGGTCAATCATATAGTTGATATGTTGACAAAATTTAGTAAAAAATTAAGTGTTTATGAAGACTGTCAACTTTAAATATCGCTATATTATTAAATTCCTTCGCATATATATATATATATAACAAGAACAATTCGAACTTCTATTAATACTTTCGAATCCCAATTTACGTCAATAAATAAAATATCTATTTAGCCAAAAAATAAATAAATGCAAATTGTCAAATATTATTTTATATTAGCTACTCATTTTTATTTCATATTTTCTATATATAGTTAGTAGTTTTTTTAAAATTATAAATAAATTATTATCAAATGACATCACTTGTCATAAGGTGTCTTTATCTTTATCCTAAATAAATAAAAATACATATTTTTTATGACTAGACAAGATTTAAGAAAATGAAAAGAAATGAAGTCACGTGTTCATATTGATAAATTTGAAAAAAAAAAGGTCTTGGAATTAAATGCAATCTATAATTATAATAATTGTACTAGAGCAATTTTTAGCCTTAACTTTTCTTACCTGCCTTTTTCCTTTTTCACCTTTATTTATTTTTATTTTTAATCAACATCATAATATATAACGGAAATCAAACAAAAAAAAAAACACAAATTATTTCAGAAAATAAAAAGGTCATTTTTATTTCTTTTTCTTTTCCTCTTTCTCTAAACCCTAAATATATATTTTCTTTTTCTCGTCTATCTTGACAATTTCCAATTTACGGTAAGAAAATTCAGATTTCTTCTTATTTCATTTGAATTTTCAGATTTATTTATTTTTTCGAAAAAAATAATTATTTTTTTAATTGTTTATGGTTGATACTATTTTTCGACCTTTAATTTATTTTTTTTAATTTATTTTTTGCTTGATCTGTTAAAATTTTTGGAAAAAAATCTGAAATTTTTTCTGGGTTTATAGTTAAGCTTGATCAATTATGCAAAAATTTCTTGTGTTGATTTTCAGTTGAATTTCTAGGGTTAGGGTTTATACTGATGAACTTTTGTTAGGGTTTTAGCTCTGAAAAACTGTAATTTTCGTTTTTTTCTGCTACAAAAGTAATTTTGTAGATTTGTAGAAGCCATTGGAGCTGAAAAAATTGTTTTTTTTTTGTTATGGTGTTCTTTCTCAGGTGAATTTGTGGAAAAATCGATGAAAAATGTCGGTATCTGAGGCAGGTAGTGGAGTAATGACCAGTAGAGATCATTTCAGTGTTGCCGGAGTTCAAAATTCTCCGGCGAATGTTCCGGCAACGACGCCGGTGGTTCAGAATATGCATATGGGTTACAGAGATGAAAATACAGCTGTGTTTGCCCCGCCACCGTACCAGTCGGCTGAAGGTTCTGCCGGAGCTGGGACTGTGATGTTGCAGAACTTGAACAATAATTCGTCGGAGCCGATGAAACGGAAGAGAGGAAGGCCTAGGAAATACGGGCCGGATGGGTCTATGGCATTGGGTTTGAATCCTGCTGGTTCGCCGCCGGTTGCTGGAGGTCCTCTCGGCGGTAGTTTGTCTCCCCGAGATCCGGGTAATTCTGCTGGTGCTCAAATGCTTTCTGGAGGACCAGCTTCGCCAAATTCTTTGAAGAAAGGTAGAGGGAGACCTCCTGGATCTGGCAAAAAACAACAAATGGACAATCTTGGTAAATTCTTATTTATTTATAAGCATTTTTCATGTGTAATATAGAATGTTTATGCTTTTGCTTTCAATGTTTTGAATTGAGCAAAGTTGTTGTCATAGTATAATATTTTATTTCAAAAGTACTCCTTCCGTCACTTATACTTGTCACGTTTCATTTCTCGAGAGTCAAACTGTATGCACTTGGACAAGCATTTACTATGTTTTTTTCACTTATACTTGTCACGTTTCCTTTCGAGAGAGTCAAACTATATGCATTTGACCAACATTTTAATATGTTTTTTTCATTATTTTTCTTTATGACCGTAGTGTTCGGGTCAGCTTTTGTACACCTCGATTAGTTCTACCTACCTATCACCTCCCACCAGTGACAGGTACCACGTAACCCTGCCCACCAAAACTAGGATAAATGGGAAGAATTACATAGTGTTTTTGTCTCCGCTGAGATTTGAACCTAAAACCTCATGACTGTCAATCACTTCATTGACCACTAGGCCACACTCTTGAGTGTTTTTCATTATATTAATATGAGAAAGATTGCAACTTATAGTATTTTTTGTGTAGTTTTCGGACATCTAAAGTTAATTGAATTAATCTAATTCAATTTAACTTCTTCGTAAAGCGAATCATGACAAGTAAACGAGAACAAAGAAAGATGGGATTTGGATCAATGAATCTACATAGACTGACTTCAGAATCTTACGGAGGAAGTAGTACTTATAGCATATTCTGTATATTGTTTTTTAAATATGTTTCTTTTTCTTTTAATTTTTCTTCCCCTTTTTCACCTTTTGGCAAATATTCAAGAAGGAACTACAAATAGTCTCTCACATAAAGTTCAAAAGTTATTTATAGCTCTGTTTTTTTTAAAAATTTTTTTTTTAAAAATATATTATTGCATCCTCATTTTAGAAATGAGCTATTCCCTCGTTTTTGAAAGTTATATGAGAAGTTTCTGCCCTACTGAAATAACTGATCTGCATTTTCATGATTTCTCTTGGATCACATGTAATAGAAGATAGATGCTGATTTTCCAATCCTTCTCTTTCATTTTTTTTTTTTTTTTTCTGTTTCTTCTTTTTGGGTGGGCGGATGGGAGGTTGCGAACATGTTATACTTGCCCTGTATAGTAAAATCCCACATATCCTGCATTTTTTTGTCCAGCATCATTAATAGAACTTCTCAACGTCATTTTCTGATTGCAGGATCGACAGGATTTGGATTCACACCACATATTATCGCTGTGAAAACAGGAGAGGTTACCTCTTTATCCTTTGTATTTCCTTTGAATGCTATATAGATTTTTAAAAAATGACTTGAAGAACATTTAATTTCTTATGAAACTTGGGAATAGCCAGCAAATATTCTTATGTCTTGAATTACGACTATTCCATATTAGTTTTGCCGTCAATAATTCAGTTTCACTGTCACGACATCTAAGAATTTGAGTTAGGAAAAGTGAGAAGCTGGTTGAGCCCTTTCACCCTTTTTTACTTGTCCAATTGCCTTGAAACTTCTCCTCTTAGCACCCAACCAATATAGCGCTATTCTTTTGTAACCCGGATCTAAATATCTACACGTGTTTAATGTTGACCCTTGGAATTCCTGTGTTGCCTTTTGATTCTTGTACTTTCTTGGACACTTGTGATAGTTTTCCAGATATCTAATCTTTACTATCTGATTTTCAGGATGTGGCATATAAAATAATGTCGTTTTCTCAGAATGGTCCAAGGGCTGTGTGCATATTATCTGCCAGTGGTGCAATATCAAATGTGACTCTTAGACAAACTGCCACATCTGGTGGAACTGCGACCTATGAGGTTTTACTTCTCTTAATATATGTTACATAGCCTTCTCAAAAAAAATATATATGTTACATAGCATATCACATTCCATCTTACATACTTAAGCTAATTATAGTTTTTCAAAAAAAAGAATTCCAAATAATTAATGTCTTTATGTAGTATTTCTGCATTACTTTTATTAATTTTTATATTCATTAGCACCCTTTTTTCACTAAAGCCTACACGTTAATGTGCTTTGCCCTTAAAGCCTCAATATATTGTTGTAATTTAATTCGTCTCTTATTTACTTCATAGTATTACTTCCAGGGGCATCTCACTTGGATGTGAGGGAAAAAATGATCATTTTTCCTCATTCTACTTGAGAGATATGTTTATTTTTTACTATTATTTCTAAAGTCCACATGCAGTTCGTATGCATTTTAATCTTATTCTTGATTTCAACTTCATTCTGCGCCTGAAATTAGTTGATCGTCTCTTCTAGAACTCACTGATCTGCAAATAAA